GTCGCGTCGTTGTGTCTCGTGGTGTTACTCATGTGTGCGCTTTGCACAGCGCTGATGCTATGCCGGTATTGCAGGACCCATTTCAACAGAATTTTCTCGGCGCTCAGCCCGTCGTTCTCCCGTGGCACCCAACACCCTGCAGGCAGCTGCTTTCGTTATGCGGACTCGTGACGTCGGATACCCGGCCTCTGTGCGCATCACCTACCACCCGCCACCCCGCGCCCGCTCGAGGAGCAGCCCACGCACTTCGCCTCATACCACACCGCGCGGCGGTGCTTCAAGCCCCACTCGCAGCGGTACGCCCCGCAGCGGCACCGGCACCCCGCGCGGTGGCCCCCTCAATGTGGCAGGCGTGTCTGCATCCGCTAGCCCCCGCCGCGCTGCCGCTTCATGGCCGCTGGTGGCTGTCGAGGTGATCCACGAGGCCTCCGGAGCAGCGGCGCGTTTTGAGCTGCCCGATGACGGCGGGTGGGCTTGTGCTGACCCCGGCAGCGCTCGCACGGCGCTGCTGCTGCCCGTCGCGGACAGCGACGAGTTTGAGGGCGACGAGTTTGAGGAGGAGGAGGGGGAGGCGGCGGGGCACGGGGACGGAGACGGCGAGGAGGGCGGCTTTACAGGTGACTACGCTGACCATGAGGGGTCGGAGCGCGGGGCGCATCATGGCCATCCTGCGGTTGAGGATGAAGAGGACGACGCCCTGGACAGGCGGTGTCATGAGGGGCTGCCGCGCGGCTGTGCACAGCAGCAGCCATCTGCATACGACACATGGGGTGCCGACCTACCCAGCGCATTTTCCAACGAACGGCAGCGGGAGCTGTTTGAGGAGGAGCGTGCACGCGCACGCGCGATGGGCTTGGCCCGCGTTGCCGGTGCCGCTCGGCGTGCGCAGGCCAGTGTGTCCCATAATCGGCAGGAGCAGGGGCACCAGCTCACCACGCGGCCCCAGGCCCCTCCTGTCGGACTCGCAAAGTTATTCCAGGGGCCGCAGCAGCATGTCGCGCAGCAAGTGAATACGCACCAACATCAGCAGCAGCCACGGCAGCCCCTTGACCCTGGTCAGCGCTCGCCTGGTGCTCACGAACCGCTGCAGCACCAGCAGCAGCACTCGCCACGGCGGCCTGCAGTGGAGTACCGAGTCCTGGTGCGCACGCGCAGCCCGCGCGGTGGCAGCAGGGCCATGGCAGCAGCTAACCAGGCCGGATCCAACAGCGGCGCCGATGACGTCAGCATTGCCCTCGTGGGCAGCCGCGGCCACACAGGGCCGCTGAGGCTGGCTGGGGCGCGGCGTGGGCACGGCGCAGCAGGCGGCGGCAGCGGTGTGGAGACATTTCAAGTCCAGGTGTGACAGCTCCCCTGTGCCTTGTCAGCCCGTGCATGGCATAGGGTTTGCATCAGCCGCGTGATGCTGCAACTTCCTGCAGCCCGCAACCAAAGCCAACCGCAGTGCAAGTGACAATCTGCCCTTTCCCTTGGTACTAGCCTGCCCCTCACCCATCATGTTGCTGCCCCCTAACACACACACACACACGCACACACACACACACACACATGTGCACACGCACACATAGGGCCCAGATGTGGGCACTATCACCAGCGCAAATCTGGAGCTACACGCTGGCGAGGTCGAGGGGGCGTGGCAGGTGGAGAGCGTCGAGGTCACGCACACAGGCACAGGCCAGGTGCGCAGGATGTTGCTGGCTCACGAACAGTGACAGCAGCCTGAGCACACGGAAATCGCTTGATAGACAAGGTCTTGTTGAGGCTGTGAAATGCTCATCGTATCTCGCCCTCTGCCTTGCAAGCACTGCTTCTCTCTGTCAACCACTCCCTGACACCTGTCCATGTTTTGTTGTCATGCTCACCGCAAATACCACCCAGTCCATGCGCTTTGCATTTGTGGGCTGGTTCGACTCTGAGGACGCCGCGGCACCCCAGCCCCGTGGCAACACCTCGCCGCCGCCATCCCGCAACAACGTCCAGCCTGCATCCCCGAGCCCTTCCCCTTCCACGTCAGCCATTGCAGAGGCAGTCGCCGGGACGGCTGAGTCCCCGCGGCGCCGCGGCAGCGCAGCTGGGAAAGTACTCTCACCGCCAGCACCGCGGCCACCTCCACCATCAGCACCAGCAGGGATGCAGTCTGGGGCTGCCGCGGACGTCGCAACGCTGAAAGAACAACGCGTGCCAGCTATGGGCGACAATGCGCAGCAGCAATCGGGCGTTTCACGCACAGTCGTGGGGCCACAAATCACCGCACCCAGCCCCGCAGCTGCAACAAGCCCGACTGCCACGAAGCCCACTGCAGCCGTGCGCCACGCAGAGGCCGCTGCAGGTGGCGCGACGGGGGCAACCGGGGCACCCCGCGGCCGCCCGATATTGCGTCACTATGAAGTGGCGGTCAGCACCAGCGACATACCTGGGGCTGCCACGCAGTGCGAGGTGCGTCTCGCGGTGCCGCATTGCACAACTGTTGACAATCCAACACCTTGCAGCACAGAAGTAGAACCTTACGGCAGATATCATCGGGAATCAGCAGTGCTGTGATGTTCAACCACCCCTGATGATGCCCATTGCTTTGGAAGTACACATTACTGGCACCCTCCGTCTCTTGCTGCCCCTGACTAAATCCTTACCCAGGTGTACCTATCACTCTCAGGGGAGGGGGGTGAGGTGGGGGACGTGCGGCTGGAGCGCTCTTGTGCGGTCGGCACCATCGATGTGCGAGGCCGCAGGTGAGAGGCCGGGTGACGGATGAGGCATACTGAGAGCTGCAGCTGGCCAAAATGACCCTATTTTATGGTCAGTGAGGCGGCGTAAACACACCAGACAGCAAGTACATAACTGAAGTGGAAGGGACGCGTGCATGAAGTGTCACAAACACTGCCTCCCTCTCCCTGCCTACCTCGCCTACCTTTACCTTTCCTCCTCCAACACGTCTACAGCCACACACGCGCCACGCTGTTTGAGCGCGGTGCGACCGACCTATTCCGCTTCACTGGCCCCGACGTTGGCCGGCTGCACTGCGCCACGCTGCGCACAGTGGAGCGCGGCCTCCTCGGGACTGCTTGGTGGGTGGAGCAGGTTCCAGCCTAGTGCGTCACACGACCTACTGCTCACGTCAAGGGATTGACGTCTCATTTGCGTCATTGCTCAGCGCTGGCACTGCACGCGCGCGTGCGCGCGCACACACACACACACACATGCATGCATGCATGCATACATATATCCGCACACATATACACATGCACACACACAGGCACCTGGAGCGTGTGCGCGTGCGAAGTGGGGGCCAGACTGCACGGTTCACCTATGGCGACTGGCTGCAGCGCACCTCGAGCACGGGTGGCGCGTTCGTCACTCTGGTCGAGGAGGGGCTACTGCACAACGCAGCCGCGGCTGCAGAGGCCAAGGCAGCGGCAGATGCCGCCGCAGCCGCGGCTGCTGCAAGTGCAGCACAGGCTAGGGAGGAAACTGCGGCAGTGGCGCATGAGAAGGCAGCAGCTGGGCCTGCAGGCGGCGCGGCTGAGGAGCAGCTTCCATTTGAGGACACTTGCGCACAGGAGGAGAATCGTGGCGATGTGGTGAGTGCCAAGAGATGCGGAGCACTCCTGTGGGACAGCGGGGCCGCACAGCAAGCGCAACCACGCCTTGGCTCATCCATGATCAACTTCAAGCAACCCATGAACATCCGCTGCATGTCGTTTGATAGCCATCCCACCCTGGGCGTATGGTCACCCTGCAGGTGAGGTACAAGGTCAGTGTGGCGACCAGCAACATCCCGAATGCAGGCACAGACGCCCCCCTGCTTGTCCAGGTGCGGCTGTACTGGGGGGACGGCACGCTTCCAGCGTGTGCAAACTTTGGTTCTGCCCAGCCGGTCACACAAGGTCATCCCTGTTGTTGGAATGTTGCCGTCCTTTTCTTTCGACGCAGCGCCGCTCACTCTTACCTCTCGCTCCAATGACTCAGTGTGCACCACGCCTGCTTGCGCCCCGCAAACCAGGTCATCGGTCCGCTGGGCGCACTGGGCCGCGGCGCCATCCAGCTTGAGAACAGCTCACGCAGGGTGGGTGGGCGCCAGCCCGAGGGCAGGGGTGCGGCAGCCAACGTGAGTGCTGTGTGGCATCATCAAGTGGGGGTGATGCAACTGCTTTTAGGCAATGACAAGCCTCTGCGGAGCAAAGAGGGCTTTGCTGGGCTTGATTACTTCTCACGTGCGCATGTGGCCCTCCCGCCACCAACCTCGTGGTCCAGTTTGAAAGCGACTGTGTTGACGAGTTCTGGCTGGAGCTGCCAGCGTCGACCGACTGCGGCGCACCCATTCAGCGAGTGAGAGGCCAGCGTGGCCGAGCCTGGTCCCCACCTGCACCCGCTCCCGCTCTGTGATGACCTGCTGCTGGGTGTGCCTGTGCTGCACCGCTGCGCACGGATGGTCCCAAACCACGCTCACGCGCCTGATGCTCTTCGTTCCCCGCCTTCCTCCCTCTCACCCCTCAGCTGGTCGTGGAGCGCGGCGGTGACGCAGACCCCGCCCTGGACTGGCACATGGACCACATCGCGGTGGCCGACATGGACCGGTGTGCACGGGGTAGTATGACTGCGGGGGCAAGGATGTCAATGGGAGGAGTTGAGGGCATCGCTTGTGCTGGGTGTGAGGGCTGATGGCCCTGCCCTGAATGTCGTATTTCCAACATACCGCCACATGCCTTCCAACTTGTGTTCCTGTTTTGAAAACGCATACGCGCTGTGCAAATACACACACAGCAACCACACATACACACGCATGTACGTGCTGTTATGTGCGTTTTTGTGAATTTGCAAGTACATGCACTTTTGCAACTTCACACGCACAGACAAGCCCGCAGCAGTATGCAACGCACATCACGGACTCGTGCATGTGCGCGACCATGTGCACGCACACACGCACACGCATGCAGACACACAAACACACACACACACACACATACACACACACACACACTGACACGTTGACACTCGTGCAGGGGCCTGTCGTACAGGTGGTGCTGTGCGGAGTGGTTCAGCGCAAAGGCCGGCCTCAGCAAAGAGTGGGACGCCAGGCTGGAGGCCGCAGCTGGGCATCACCCATCGCAGGCGTTGCAGCTGGAAGAGGGGCCGCCTCCCAGTGTGCTGCAGCAGGTGGTCGAGCACAGCCGGCGTGGCCGCGCCACCCTCCAACACGGCGGCGGCGCTGAGGGAGCTCGTGCAGGCGGAGGCGTGCAGGAAGGGGCAGCGGCGGTGGAGGCCATGGCCAGCTGCACGAACGAGGTCGCTGTCGAGGCGCCAAACCAAGGTGCCGCGGCGGCGGCGGGCACCAGCGCAGTGCTCGGCTCTGGGCTCGAAGATCCTGGGGTTTCTCCAGCACCGCTGCCGGCTCCGACAGAGTACAGCCTGGCCATTCTGACAGGCGACCGCCCAGGCGCCGGCCTGGGCAAGCCCGTGCTGCTCGAGCTCACAGGGACGCTCCGCAGCTGCAGCTTCTCGCTGCCTGCCAGTGACGCAGAGGGGGGACAGGAGCAGCCCGATACCCGCGTGCTGGACGAGTTTGACCTCCTCATGCCGGAGCTAGGCCAGCTGGTAGAGCTGCGCCTGTGGACAGAGGCGGCGGCCGGCGCCGGCAGCAGCGGCAACGGCGGCGGCGACGCAGCATCGGCAGGCGACCCTGGCGTGGGTGGCGCGTGGTACCTGTGGACTGTGGAGGTGGCGCACGGGGGCAGCGGTTGCAGGTGGCTTTTCGAGCTTGACACATGGGTGCACGGTGGCCGCGAGCACGCCGTCACAGCACCGGCGCAGTTGGTGGCAGGCACATTACCTGAGAATTGGGCGTCCTCTCTGCCACCGTCCGGCTCTTCGCCGCCTCCCGGCTCCCTGGCACCGCCTGGCCGTCAGGAGGGGCGCGAAGGGATGGGGCCAACATCTCGCCAGCCCTTGGACGGCCTTCAGGGGCGGCAGCGCAGCAAGGAGGAGCGTGCGGAGGGGCCATGGCCGTCACGCGCCCGCCAATCAGCGGGCTAGACGGGCGGGCCAGCGGCAGACGGTGCCAGGTGGGGTGTGCAGCGATGCCGTGTGCTTGTCCATTGATTGTTTGCTGTGCGTAGACATGCATGCTCTCTAATTGCGACCTGCTGTTTACTCCTGCACCCTACTTGTGTCACCCCTCTAGGTTGACTGCTGCTGCCCGTGCCTCCTCTTTGCACAGGCCCGACTTGCAAGCACCAGGGTCGCTGCAGCCCCTCTGCCGCGACTATCCTCAGCACTGATTGATGCTGCTGGGGAAAGGGGGTGGTAAGTGGCGGGGACCCCAATGGCCGCCGAGCAGGCCGCGACCGTGGTGCGGTGCTGCCACCCACGGGATGCGAAGGCCCCTGCTTCCAGAGAGTTTGGGGGCAAAGGATTTTGGATTATGTATGGGTGTAGCATGGCCGTTGCTTCAGAGGCGTGAGGGACAGCAGATTATTGATTTTTGTGTTGATGGTGGTGAGGATTCAACACGTGCACGTGTAGGTTTGTGGCGGCACTGCAGTACCGTGCCACTATCGCGCACTGACCTTGTCAGCGGCTATTGACATCTGGCTGAGGTTCATGGGTGCCACCGGCTGATCGCACCGGTCACTGATGACATACAATTGCTTTAGGGTTGACTGCTTCACAGGATATCAGTATCCAGCTATCCACGCAACAGCGGCGTGTGCTGCACACGAGCGCACTCCGCCACGGCAAGCTCGGCGGCTGGCACAGCGGTGTGGTGGTCGCCGCACCCTTTGACCTTAGCGACCGCTGGTTGCGGGCACTGGGAAGCTTCCTTGCTCCTGATGGTGATGACGACGCGACTTGGACGGCTTACCCTCACACGACCCACACCTCCAACCAGCGTGCTTGGTCAGGCTTTGACACAATTGCCACGCGCTTCAGATTTACCCCTGCCCGCGCCCATACACATGCGGCTCTTCCTTTCCTGCGCACGGCTGTCCGCACATTGCGCTGCGTGCCGAGCTCCGCCCCTGTCACATGGCCCCATCCTTGCGCCTCGCGCGCACAGACGCTACATACAATTTGGCCTAACTTCCTAGGTTGGATGTTCCCGGCGTTGCTTTGACTCGCGTTACAGTGTAATTCAGGGATCCCTTCAACCGCACGGGACGACGCACCCACCAAGCGAGGTGCTGTGCGGTGGGCCCTTGGTGACGTGATCGTGTGCACACCCCGACGGCAGGCGGCAGTCTTGCCACAGGAATCAGGGGCGCATGGCCACGGGTGTCATAAGCAGCTGCGTCACAGCAAAAAGCAAAGCAGGCACTGCCTGAACAATGCACACCACTACAAGGCAGCGCAACTCACGACGACAAGAATGCGGAAGGAGTGGCAGAAGTGTGCCCTCCCATAGGAACCGGGGAAGTGCAGCGCGTGCGCCTTTCCTCGGGCGCGCACGACTCAGAGCCGAGAAGCGCGCCCTCAGGTGCACGGCGCGCTCCACTCTCTCCAACCTGCGCTCCCCCTGTCCCGGCCCTCACTGCTCAGAACCTGCGTATGGTGGATGGTGGGTGGTAGGGCAGCCCCGGCGCGCTCTCCGGCGTGGCGTCCTCCACTGGCCTGTAGCAGCCGATGGTCTTGTCGGCGTTGCAGGTGATGAGGCGCGACCCCGTGATGTCGTAGGACGCGGCGTACACGCCGGCCTCAGAGTCCAGGGACCCGGGCTGCACCACGGGCTCCACCTGCTGGTAGCAGTGCCCGCTGTTGTAGTCCCAAAACCTGGGGGTGGCGGGGGGTGGGGTGGAGTGCGGGGCAGGGCCAATGACGACATGACGGAGCTGGGGGCGTCACAGGGAGGGCTGCCTGAAGTGGGGGCAGGTGTGGGGCTCCAGGAGCTCGCAGCAGCAGTTGAGAGGCTCGAAGACCAGACGGGTGCGCTGTCCCCTTGCTGCCATGGTTATGCAGCCGTGCGCCACGCTTGGAGCCCCTCCTCTCAGGCTGGCTGGTCACCCCAACGCCCCCCCCC